TGCTGACAGCAAGCAGTGCCAGGGCTCTGCTCCAGGGCCCTGATCTGCCCTTTGAAAACTGCATGGGAGTAAAAGACCAGTTGATTCTGAATTCAGTAAACAAATGCAGACAAGTAGAGCTGTGCAGGACAGAGACCATGATCCAGGGTTACCTGACTGCACAATCTTCCTCTTCCTGGACATTGATCTGCATCTGACCCATGTAGCTCTCAGGACAGGGGGCAACTTCTGCTTTTCCCACCAGTCCCCTCTGGGTGATCCAATACCTGCAGACTGGACTTGTAGCATCCTTCTTTGCTGTGGGCTTTTGTGTTGATAATGCCAATGCAGCAGCAGAGATGCTAAGATCAGAGGTGCCTGAAGATACATAAAAGCCAGCATCTAGAGCTTCAGCATGTTTATAATAGGTTATCATGTGCGAGATGACATATCTGGTGCTTCTTTGCTTGGGACCTCATCTCCCCTCCTGCCTGCAGTTTTAGTAGCCATGTAGCATCCTGACATTTCATCTTTATTAACTTCTTCACAGATAGCCATTTGGGGTTTACTGGGAGATTAATTGTTTTCAAGAAGCTTTTAGACTGTTAGCAGGGTTTTGTCTTTTTTTTTGCCCCATCCCTTCAAACAGATGACTATAATAAAGCACTGTGAGATGTATTAAAATGCCCCAAGAATGCCAGGACTCTTCTCACTGTCCCCCAGTTTTTCTGTTTCTTGCAGCCCAGAGCTGAGAGCAACAAGGGAGGGACCCATTTTTTGAAGAGGGCACCAGCTGCAGCTATCATTACCGTCAGTTTAGTTAGATCTTCCCCATGGCATTTTTCCAGGAGAAAAAAGAGCACACAAGCCTGGCTATTTTTTTCTATAGTCAATGCATGTGATTAGGGGTATTTATAAAAACTGTGCAGAAAACAGCATCTCAGGAAAAGGAAAAGTACAGGCAGATGCACTGAAGGAAAGAAGAAATTAACAGACTTTGAAGTCAGCAAAAGTGCCTGATTAAGGATTTAAACACCAGAATTTTACAATTTTGCTGTGCTGTGGGTTTCTAAAGCACAATTCAGTGATGGCTTTTGAGGTCTGTTGGAAGATATTCTGTAAATGACTGTATGTGTAGTGCCATCTGAAAATACTGGTAATGTTGGCTCTGTTTTCAGGGTGGAAAGAAGGAAACTTCACCAGCAAAAATGTTAAAACAAAATAAGGGAGCTCAACTCAAAGCAGCTCACTCAAACCTTTCCATTCCCTCCTTTGAAATGTTGTGATTTCAGCATTTTCCTTGCACTGCCCATAATTTTCCATCACTGATTTGTTCATTTTTTTATGTCCTCCCCCCAAACCAAAGGTAAGCATTTAAAAAAACATTTTCCTATTTACTATAAAACCAGTAGTGAATCACTCATTTTCTAAGTAATTCAAGGCCAGCAATTTTGCATTAGTGTAGGAATGTGAATTTCCCTTGTGCTTCACTGCAGAATTAGATTTGCCCAGAACACAAAATGGGACTTGGAGCTTTTTACTATTAATCTGAGATTTCACATGCAGGTTGGTAGAATCCAAAGTGCTGTGATTATATCCTTGTTCAGCAGCCTCTAATGCATTTTGGAAACTGCCCAGAGTATAATGAAAAGGATACATGCACAATAGTTTTCACCTGATGGAATATAGCTAGTTTATTTGTTCCATCTCTGCAGACTGCTAGAGGTGCTCACAGAGAGTTTTCCTTCCATCTGCAGACATAGTCCTCTCAATTTAGCTGTGTTTATTTGAGACTATAAAGGGAGTCCTTGGTAGCATCCCCACTGTACCCATAACGTGGTTGGAGGGCTCAGTGCTACAATCTTGCATCCTGGAGCTAACAAACATTGTAAATTAAGGGCAGTGTCTTTTGGTATATGTATGTGTAGTGCCTACAGAAGGGGGGCATAGGAAAATGAGATTCCCCATTAGTTCTGATCACAGAAATATATAAATATAATTTCACTGGGGGGAGGGTGACACTAACATCCAAACACTGGGGCATGAAAATGTGCCAGTTTTTATCCAGGTATTTAATTATTTTTAAAACACACAAATGTGATGAATACACCTAAATATTCATTGCCTAATATGCCTTTGAGATGAAAAGCAGAGTGCATAAATTCCTCATATTACCTGATAGCTTCCATTAGCTCTCCATTTGTAATCCACACCTCCTGCTAAAAAGGACAGAACTCATTAGAACTCTCCCTTTAGAGGAAGCCAAGCAAAAAATTCCCAGAGGTTTATGCTATAGAAGGTGAAAATGTTACCAGATGAACAGTTCTTCCCAGTGCTTCACTAGTCTCACCATGTAATTGAAGATTTATTGTAAGTCATTGAACACTATTATTACCCATCCAAGAGTCTTTGCTTTTCAGTCCCTCACTCACCCAAAGACATCCTTGCTGAGGAAAAGTGCAGAGTCAGCAGGAAAGGTGGATAACATGAATAATTAAAATGGAGGTTGAGTTCCCCTTTGCTACTGAAGAGAAATGGTTTGCACAAAAATAGAAGGGTGGCTGCATTGTCTGTGGCATTTCTGCTCTCTGGGGGGATTGTTCAGGGCAAAGGTATTTAAATATTTGATTTAGAACAGCAACCTAACATAATAATACTATAATATTATTTCTAAATAATATTATTTGGAAGCACTCTGCTGTGGATAACGCTAAAGTGGTATGTCTGGCAAGGGTAGAAACTGCTAACAAGTAGCAGTTAATTAATGAATGGAGATGTGCAGTGTGCACATGTGTATTTATCCGCTGGCAAAGTATATTGCACAGAATATTATCTCTGTAACAAAGACAAGCACTCAGAAATGAGAAAATTGGAAAATTAGGGTTAGCTTTGATTTTTAATATAGTTGGGTCATTAAACACTATCAAGTGCCATTTTTTCATAGCTTTCTTCTGCCTTCAGTGTTAAGGATGGACAGTGCTTGCTGCTCATTACTTTGTTTTATTCTACTGTTCAAGCATTTTTACTTATTTTTTGCACATCAGGCAAATCCTTTTTTGAAGAGGGGATTATAAATTTCCTCATGACACTAACCACCCCAGCATCATATTTTGCAGAGATTATAATATTTATTTTCATAAGCCACTGAGAGCTAAGGAACCTGTTATCATCCTCCTTTTAGAGATGCAGTCTTGAGGCACAGCGATAACAAAAATCTTATTTTAGGTGCTTAAACTGAGAGAGATTTCAAAGAACTTGACTTCTCAGAGTGCAGAGTTATAAAACACAAAGAATGACCACTTTGCACCAAGGGCTTAGCATATCTATAAATTGGATCACTGTGTCAGTCTCCAGCAAATGAGGAACTGAAATTACCAGACAACTGTGAAATGTTAGGTTGAAAAATACTTAATATAATGTATGACTATATCACTGGCAAGAATAGACTTCAGTCCTCCAATGCAGCATTATTCTGCCTTAACTCCTTGATCTTGTCACTTTCTGTAACCTTCCAAAGCTCTTGTCACTTTCTGTAACCCTCTCCAAAGGCTCAGGTGAGGAGGATGCACAGAGTTCTGCTGTCGGGACAGGGGGCCATTGGGTGCTCTGTACAGTAGATGAGTAGATTGTGGTTGTCAGTCTAGATAAAAAGCTCATTAATCCTCAGTGTATGAATGTTGTTCTTCATGCTATAAATGACCAATGATACCACTAAAGAGTCAAAATTCCAAGGACCAAACCTCAGGATAGGATCCATGCAGTGTTCTGATTGTATGACCTCAAACATCCCATGTTATTCCCACATGGCAATATAAATCAGGGCTACCCCAGCCAATGCAACCAAGATGGGTGTGATGCTCAGCGGGAACCTGCAGCCCATGTCATTTTCATTATGAAAGTGACTGGCAATTGCCAGAGAGCCATGGTCAGTTGAGGATGATTGTGGAACACCTGCACCTCTGTTTTTGAACAGACAGCTCAGAATTAGCATTAAAAATGCATTCAGTTTTCATCACTAATGCCATCGTTCTGGTTATGCAACACCCATGGGTGAGGAGCAGGTCACCTTGCACTTGTAGTGGGAGGCTGGGGCAGCACAACCCTTCGCTGCATGCTTATGTTTCCCTGCCCAGTAACTGTGAGCAGGGACAAGGGATGTTTTCCAATCCCATCCCATCCCCATCTCCATCCTCATCCCACCCAATCCCATCCCATTCCCTCCCCATTCCCCTCAATCCCATCCCATCCTCATGCCATCCCATCCCAACCTATCCCATCCCATCCCATCGTATTCCATCCCCACCCCAACCAATCCCATTCCATCCTCATCCCAACCCACCATCCCATCATGATCCATCCCAACCCATCCCGTCCCATCCCATCCCACCCCATCTCACTCCATCCCCACCCCACCCAATCCCATCCCAGTTCCATCCCATCCCATCCTGTCCTGATCCATCCCATCCCATCTTGCTCCATCCCCACCCCACCCAAACCCATCCCTGTCCCGTCCCATCCTATCTCTTCCCAACCCATCCCATCCCGTCCCATCTCACACCATCCGCACCCCACCCCATCCTATCCCATCCCGTCTCACTCCATCCCCACCCCACCCAATTCCATCCCATCCTCATCCCCCTCCCATCCTGTCCTGCCCCATCCCATCCCGCCCCATCCCACTCCGTCCCCACGCTACCCAATCCTGTCCCATCCTCATCCCCGACCCATCCCATCCCATCCAGTGCAGTCCAGTCCAGTCCCACTCCATCCCCACCCCACCCAATTCTAACCCATCCTCATCCCCATCCCGTCTCGTCTCGTCTCGTCTCATCCCATCCCATCCCATCCCTACCCATCCCACTCCATCCTCACCCCATCCCACCCCATCCCTTCCCGTCCTGTCCTTCTCTATCCCCATTCCACTCAATCCCGTCCCATTCGATTCCTATGACCATTCCCCTCCCTATCCCCGCCTTCACGCCGGCTGGCCCACCCAGCTGCCGGAGGCCCCGCCCTCGCCCCGCCCCGCCCCGCCGGGTGTGGTGCCGCTCTAGCCTCCCGTCTCTGTTGCCGGCGCCGCTCTACCCCTCTCCCCATCCTCACCTGCTCCCAGTGCCCGGTGCCGGGCGGAAGTGAGTGGCGCGGTCATGGCGGCTGTGGACATCCGAGGTAGGGCTGTGCCGTGCCGTGTCGTGTCGTGTCGTGTCGTGTCGTGCGCGGGTGCTAGTGGCTCCCGGGACGCGGCGCTGCTTGCTGGCCGGGCATCACCTGCTCCGGCACCTCCATGTCGAGCCGTGCGCCCTGCCCGGCGGCCGGGGCTGCTCTCCGCCGCGAAGGGGTGTGCTCCCTCCGCGGGCAGAGCGGGCGGGCCTGGCTGCCCTGAGGTGGTTGGAGCTTGCTGTGCTATCGGCGTTCGCTCCCACGAGCCTCCCAGTTACGGGACGGTGCGATGTGGCCAGAGGTGTGAGGATAACAGAGCTGCTGCCTTTATTAGTGCTCTGTAGGGCAGCGGAGCTACTGAGTTGTATGTCTTTGGAAGCTCCGCACAAGGGGTTTAGTAGCGTTGGGAATGTATCTGTATCCCGGTAAGGGACTGGGATCAAAACCTGTCCAAAAAGCAGTTTTGTCATGGGCTGGGAGGGGATGTGTGTGAAAACAAGCATCCCTTCTGCTACGAAGCTTCCTTTTCAGGTGGAATGAGGAGGTGACATGAGTGATCTGCCAAAAAAGAGTTTAGTTCTGGAGTGTGAAGGGAAGTGGGAAACACTGTCATGTGTGGGGACCTGGACAGGACCAAAGCAGTGAGTTAGGCTGGTGATTTTAACTGGGTTTCGGGTGGATGGGATGAGCCAGGGCGGGTGTTAGTTAAGTCAGAAAGAAGGCTGAAGTAACTGAAAACAAGAAAGGTTTGGGTAAGAATTCAGGGATATTAATGGGATGTTTTGAAGAAGGGGTGGTACTTCAATGAAGTATTAAAGAAGGTTTATGCTGTAACAAAATACAGCTTAAATTACTGTGAAGAGTTTGAACTTTGTGGGTGAAAAAGGGGGTTGAGAGGGCATGGCAAAGGAAATTGTTGTTCTCTGAAAGGGTGTCTGAATGGGATCATACTGAGACTCTCTTGTCGTGGAGTGTCAGGGAATGGCCAAGAGCAGGTATGTAGGGAATCTTGTGAGGGTTTAATTTTGATCATGTCATAGAGATTTCTCCCTTTTTCTTCAAAGTCTTACAGTCCTGTTTGCTTTTCTGACTGCCTTGTTTGAGATACAGCAAGGACAGTTGATGGAGGAGTGCTGTACTAAGTTATTAGCTGCTGTGAGAACCTTCTGTCTTAATCCAGATAATTAAAGCTCCCTCAAAGTTTTGTGGTTTTTGTTTGCTTGTTTTTTTTTTTTAATTATCTAATATGGTTCAATATATTAAGTAGATTTTGAGGCATATTTACATTCTTAAGCTATAAAACTATTTTACTGTTCCTCTCAGTCTATCAAAGCCTCATGTTGGGCTATCTATCTGGCAAGGCCAGGCACAGGACATTGTGTGAATTGCTCTCCTCTTTTTTTTTTTCACCATGGTTTGCTGGATCATCTCCCAGATTTTCTTGATGTTCATGACAGATTGGCAGTATTGTCACAAGCACTTTCGCATCTCTGATGCAGGAACACCATCCATTCTTTCTTATACCCAAAGTAAAGAGAAGTACTCCCTTCTTGGTGGGAAGGAGTGTCAGATTCAGGTTTGGTTTTGTTCTTCCTCCCCTTTTTTCCAAGAATAGTGTAAGAGAACAATCTTACTTGTTATAAAGCAATTATAGATACTGGCACTAAGTAGCTATGGATAATTGAGCCTTTGAGCCCAGCTTTATATTCTTTTTTATAATACACTTAACAATTTATATGCAGCATTATAGCAATAATAAAATAAAAACAATAAAGCCTGTCTGACATCCCTCTTGAGAAATGCAGTCATTGTTAAACACACAGGCAAGAAAAGTTTGTATTTGAAATGCAGTGTGAACATTTATTGTGGCAAGAATGCAAGCACTTCAGATTGTGGGGTTTGTTTGGAAGGAAAGCTTTTCTTATGGTCCTGAAAAGCATTTAGGATAATCAGCACTAGCACAATCTATGTACTTAATAGTGAATCTCAGTGCTGTGATTCTGAGATTTCCTTTTTTATAGTGAGGAGAGACAATAGTGTATGTGACATAACATGAATGGCTCTAGATTTTTGTTCTGTGAAAGATGCTGGCAATGCTGAGGTTAACAAGGCAAAAATGATCCATGTGTGACTATTTGCACTGCATTTTCCTTTTGCTAGGCAGATAGTGTTACTTTATTAACTGTTCCTCAGAGAAGCTACTAATAGTGTATGAGCTGGCATTTTTGGAACTGATCCAGTCATCCTCGAGCATGCTGAGTTGTCACAGAAGTAAAAACATATTCACAATGAAATGCTAAGTGGGAGTTCTGGGTACGTGTATAATGCTTGATCATATAATGTGTTCCTGAAAGAGGGGAATTTCAGTTCAGTCATTAATCACTTCTCACCAGTTACGTTTTTAATTCTAAGCCTTTGTTTCCTGCTTTCTTGTGTCTTGGAAATTCTTGTTTACTGCTGCAGCAATTGAAAATGGTTGAATTTCAGAGTGCTTTTCAAGATGATTTGTGGATCTTCAATGTTAGTAGATTGTTGACTGTGGAACCCATTGCTGGTTTCTTTGGTCTGGAACATGATTTTGCTGCAGTATGATAGTAAAATCCAGGGATTTTAATTCACATGTCCCCAAATCTGTAGGAACTGAACTAGCGTATAATGATTTGACCTTTACAGAATATGTTTCATTCAAAAAGCTTGCTTTTTTATGCAATTGTTTTTACTCTGTAATTAGATTTCTATAATACCACTGAGTTATGGAATAAGTAATTAGCTGCAGGCAATTTGGCAGATTAATTGTAGTCAGGAATAAATCTCTTGTTCAAGATTACTGGGAAACATCTGCCCAGAGATAGCATCTTTGTCTGCTGTTTTGGTTTTTTTTTGTTTATTATAGACTTCACCTACATAAAAAAATAGCATCTTTGAAACGTAACAGTATCAGCTGCTGTCATATCATAGTGATATATGTTTTAATAACAGAACACCTTAGAAATGTTACCAGTGCCACTGTTTTGCTTCACTCAGTAGTTTGCTCATTTACTTTAGCAAAAGAAAACTCTTTGTTTAATTAGTAGATCTCTGCAGTGTTTTACTTATTTTGTAGCATTGTTTTTTGCAGCTTTGGAACTATTTTTTCTCAGAAATAAATTGTTCTAAATATGACCAGGCTGAGGTTGGTCACATTAGGAGGGTAGGCTCACCCTACCCCCCCCAGCTGGTTCTGGAAAGAAAGAAAGAAAGAAAGGTGCAGTAATTAAGAAAAGACTGTATTTCTGTTGTGTATCTACAGCAGATCTGCAGAAGGTTAAAGAATATCAGTTATTATTTGAGCTCTCTGAAACACATTTTTGATTAGAACTGGTTTGTGTGAGGCAGTGTTGCACTTCCTTCCCCTGCTGTAATCAATAACTGGTAGCAATATACTCCTGGACGTATTTGCAGTGCTTCTGGCTGCTTTGGTACTCAGTGTATGTTTCTCTTCTCAGATAATCTCTTGGGAATTTCCTGGGTTGACAGCTCCTGGATTCCAATATTAAACAATGGGAGTGTTTTGGACTATTTCTCAGAGCGAAGTAACCCATTCTATGACCGAACATGTAACAATGAAGTTGTCAAAATGCAGCGGATGACCTTAGAACATTTGAAGTAAGTTGTCATTTAGAACTGCTTCCTGTACAGCATCCTTTGTCCCTCCATCCAGAGACTTTGATGATTGAATGGAAGCATGCTGGGAACCTCTTCTGTTCTGTGCTTTTTAGTCCTACCACTTGCTAGGGAGCCCAGCTTTTTTTGTATTTAGATGTCTTCTACTTCCTCATATGCCATTTAAAGGAGGTGTTCATCATGAAGCAATTTATGCATGTTCTGAGATTCCAGTAAATCGCCTTTTAGATGTTTGCTGTCTTCTCTCATCCTTCCAGCTCAACAGAACCTGAGTAGCATTAATAGAGTTAAATGTTTTTCTACGGTGAATAGGGTTTCTATTAGGGGATACTTTGAATTCAGAAACAGTTTGTGTTTCTGTATCCTGCTGGCTATGTGCCATACTTAATTTCCTTCAAAGAGCTAGCTTTTTAGTATGGATAACAAAAGTAGTGATTGTTGTAAGTAAACTGATCACAGATGGTTGTGTAATGAGATTACAGCATGCACAAGTTAACTTTCTTTGCAGTTCCCCATCTGCTACACTAAGCACAAGTGAGATGTTTGAGAACTATGTAAAGACTCCACAGTATGATGGGGAGTGTGCAAACTGAGCTAAAAGTTCATTGGTAAAGTCATTTATGCTCATATGTGGTTGTAGAAGGGTTTACACTTCAGACACACATGTTCACATCATATGCCGGTCCTTTGTGTTTAAATGACATCTTTGTGATGACAAGATTGTTATCTTTCTTGCTATTTATTTGTTAACATGTTCTACTTAGATACTGTGTTAAGTTGTACTGACTCTTTTTGTATTTGCAGCTACGTTTTGATAGCTACCTCAGAAAATTCTATCCCTTTATTCACTGCACATTATATAGAATTGCTTCTAGAGCATCAGAACTTCATCCGTTTACCGCCAGGCCCTTTGGTAGCTCTTCACATTCTACAGATTTTGCTTTGAGGAAGATAGTTATTCTGGTTGCTTCTTTTTCAGCCAGATGATTGGAGTGGAGTACATCCTTCTTCATGCTCAAGAGCCCATTCTCTTCATTATCCGAAAGCAGCAAAGGCAGTCTCCTACACAAGGTAAGGTCACAATTCTGGTCACCGTTGAGAAGGCTGATCAGTTAGTTGCTTTTGTCTGTTCCTTATTGGTGTTTAACCACTGCTATCTCTATCTTAAATCTGAATAAAAGGGTATGAGGATTTCTGGTGGAGTGGAGATACTTCTGTCTAGCAGAGTGACCTCTAGTGCGCTTATAGCAGAGATTGCCACCTTGTGGTGAAATATGAAGAGTGCAATGAGAAATTGCAGCTCTGTGGTATGTTTTGCCATGGAAAATGGATAATAGCATTCACACCATATCGTATTTATCTGTTAGGCTGTGCAAAAGCTTTCATTTTAATTATTTGACTATAAGGCTAACTATATCTTTGCGTGGGGCTGATGAGCTTAGTTCAGTTTTAGCTAATCATCTGCAGTGGCTAGTATGTCATTTATGATTCTTCAAAACATAGTATCATTAGGTTGGGAGAGGGATCATTCATGCTTCCTTGTGTGTCATATCACTTTCTTGTTCTGCACTATTTCCAACTTTAGCTGTGGGTTGGCTATACTGCTAAGTAGGTTCTTACAGTAGAAGAGGGTTTTTTCCCCCCTTCTCAGTCTGTGGCTAAGGTACAAATAAAACACCTTGAAGGAAAAGGTTAAGAATAGAAAATTTGGTCATGAATATTGTGATTTCTGCTGTTAAAACTGAAATTCAGCAACAAATACCTTGTCTTCAGCCACAGCTTTTAAACTGATCCTGTCTCTTCTTTTTTTTTTTTTATTTCTTCCTCCCCACAGTTATTCCACTGGCCGACTACTATATTATTGCTGGAGTGATTTATCAGGCACCTGACTTAGGGTCTGTCATTAACTCCAGAGTTGTAAGTGTTTCGTCCATTTGATGGACACTGGTTTGTACCTGCTTTTACTTCTGGGTGTTCCTCAGGCTGTTTAAATCCTTCCTTTGCTGTTTTGAGGAAAGATCTTGTGTAGTACACAGTAACATAAAACAACACCACCAGTGAATATGGTGTACATCCCACCTGGAAATGGAAGATCTTGCAAGCGTGCAGTATGGTCCAGAAATTAGGATATGCTGTTTAAGGATGAAGGATCAGAATTAACTGAAGCTACACAATTAGCAGACCAGCATAAGGTTTGAATAATCAAAAGAAAAATTACATCACAAATGCATGTGAAATAGTAATTAAATACATAGTGAAGCTTGCTTTGGAATGTCACTGTTAAGGGAAGGTAATACTTCTCTTTAAGTGAGGCTTATGTTTTTAAGTTGATGTGGTATTTCTGTTTGAATTGGGCACTTGTGTTTGTTTTGTTTTTTTCCTTGTTCTAGTAAGCAACTGCTTTTGTCAGTTTAGAAAAGCACTTCAGAAAATGTCTTGTAAGAGCCTATTGAAGAGACTACATTCTTGGTCCAAATGTCCCAAGTTCCCTTCCCAGAACAAAAATAAATACAGAATACTAATTTTAAAATCCGTTTTTTCAAAGTTTTATACTGTATTTTTTCCTTGAACTCTGAACACTTCCTTATGTTCTTGTTCTGAAAGCTCACTGCAGTGCATGGAATTCAGTCTGCTTTTGAAGAAGCCATGTCCTACTGCCGCTATCACCCATCCAAGGGCTACTGGTGGCATTTCAAAGACCAAGAAGAACGAGGTATGAATCCTAGTTGTTCCTGTGTACTTTGGTGGGGGAAGGTAATGTAGAAAACCTTGAGGCAATGCAAAGTGATGGTGTAGAGATAAGGTTAAGTGTCTGTCTGATGGGTAAGTTAGTGCTCCCTGTCAGGAATCTTGCTCTTCTGTGCTGGTGGGGATGGACATTGAGGCATGGGTGGGAGATGAAAATTGTGAGCTGTGTGTCAACAAAGTGGGGAAATCTTCAATCCACTGGAGACCAGAGTACATCTTCAGAAGCCAGACCAGTTTATTAGGAAGTAAGAATTGTCCTTAATGTGTCTTCCACAAAAAAAAAAAAAACTGATGTCAAAGGGAAGACATAGGTGAACTTTAGAGGAGGGATGAATACCAGCTTGTCATACAACAAAGTGGACAGAACTTCTAATACAGCTTTCTCCTACATTTCTGTGACTTGTAGAGAAAGCTAAACCAAAAGCCAAGAAGAAAGAAGAACCAAGTTCTATTTTCCAAAGGCAACGGGTAGATGCTTTGCTTTTAGACCTAAGACAAAAGTTTCCACCCAAATTTGTTCAGGTATGATGCTTACAAGCCATAGTATTTCTGTAACTTAGAATGTAAGGCAGTCAGAAGCACTTTAACAGCTGAAACTGAATGGGAATTCTGTGTGCTTTCTGCAATGGTAGCATGGGTTAGATAATAAATTTGAAATGTAAGGCTCTGACTGGAGCGTAGGATTCCCCTTTGTAATTGCAGGAGTCATTTAAGACCTTGGCAAAACTGTGAGGGTGAATTTTCTTACACAAATTCCTTACCTAATCACAGAGGGTCTGTTCTTGTCAGCTATGGGGTTTTGCTCCTGCTTCCAGTTTCCTGCTTTGTGAGCTAAATCAAGCCACCACAGCTATTTTGTTTTAGCTACTCTATTGTTTTTGAGGCTTATTAATTAGTGTGGAAATTCTTGGCATTCTGTGAAGTTGTAATTACCTCTGATCATCTCTAGTAGACGTTTGTTCCACCAGGTCTTCTGCTTGGGAAGAACAAATGATGTTTACAGCAACTCACAAAACTGTTTACTCCTCAGATGTGGGAAAGACTGGCTGTGTAATTTTTGCTTTAGTGCTTTTCAGTTGTCAGCAGAAACTGGATGTTATAAAATGTTAATTGGATTTTGTTTAAAGTGTATTTAGTGATTCATTCTACCATCAACTGTTATGTATAAGAGTGTATTTGCTTGGTATACGTTCCTAAATGAATAGTAGGCAGGTTTAAGAACTATTGCCTTGGTCCGGCTAATGTGTTGTTTTATTTTTTCTTCCTCCCCCACAGCAAAAACTTGGAGAAAAGCCTATCCCAGGTAAAACTCTAATATTCTCACAAGACTTAAAAAATAGGCTCTATATAGCAATGTCTTCCAGTTGCCATATAAGCTCCTTGCTGCTGCTGAGCTGCTTAGGAATTCTGGCATTCCTAAACTGAAAATTTTCATTGAGAAAAATGTATGTTCAACTCTTGCCCTTTCTGTCTGTAAAACTGTATTGCCTGAAGGTCCAAATGCAGGAAATGGTCTTTGAAAGCAGAAGGAGAGAAAATAAGGGAACAGTTTAGTCAATCCAGCATCTTAGTGATTTTTGAATGGTGCTATAAGCTCAAGAAAGCATGTGAAGGCTTTGAGTTGATCATAAGCAACCTCAAAACAGGAAAACAATGAACTGTATCTCTTCAGTCTGTTCTGCCTTTTTACCAGTATTGGTATGAATTTAATCTTTGGTTATTCTTAAACCTTTGAAATTAATTTTGGCTCTTTGACATCAACTGTATTTTCAAAGTACTCCGAGTCGTGTTTTGGGAATAAAAATTGAAGGTTTAACTTTCTTTTGCTGTTACTTCTTAAGTGGATCAAATCAAGAAGGAACCAGAACCAGCCCCTGAAGCTGTCAAGCAAGAGGAAAAAGAGACTGTAAAGAATGCTCAGCAGAGTGCTGGTGCTAAAGGACCACCGGAAAAACGGATGAGACTCCAGTGAAGGCAGAAGTTGTTGCACGTCTGGATTGGTACCTGGAAAACAGGATATTCTTGCTCCCCTTTCTTTATATTTAAGCCCTCCACTGAGACTGATGATTCAGGGCCTGAAGTCCCTGTAACATCTTTTTCTATAGAACCCTGCCACTCAGATGTTAATGTCAGGTTGTGAGATGCCTCAAAGAAGGTGTTTTCAGTCTCTTCATCTGATTTTGAATGTTGGCTTCTGAGAATGGTTTTTACACAGACATGTTTTGCAGCTTCCTGAAATCTTCACAGGCTCTTGCATCGCTTGTGTCTTGGTTTCCTGTGTAAAAAAAACTTTTATATATATTAAAAAAAGAATTCTTGGCAAATAAAAATGCTGGTTGCTGGAATGCCTTTCTTAAATGCTTACTTTGTTCGTAACGAACGTGCCATATGTGCTAGCAGCTTTCTTTCGCTTAGATTTTGGAATATATTCTGTGCTATTCTGAGGGGAAAAAAGTTCAACTAGAGGATTTAGGCTGCCTGCTATAAATTGCTGTGCCTTTAGTGTGCTTGGAATACAGGTAAAAGATTTGATAACTGGAGGCTCAAATCCATGTAATTTGATGTCAGACTGCCCTCAGTCTCTAAATGTTCCTGGCCACTCCTTTTACTTAATAGCTAAGCTGGTCTTTTATTGTAAAAGCTAGTAGTCTGTGAGAGATATTTATGATGACTTAAACCAGGCTAAAATGTCTTGCTGTTGCACATTCAGTGACATTGTTTATATTTCTTTTTCCAGCGTAACTCGAATATATGTTATGTCTGTTCCTCTGTATTTCTAGCACTTTCTTGCTGCATCTGCTCTGTGCATACTGCATCTGATCACCGTGATTTAGTCATCTGCTTTTTAGACCTGAGGAGGTAGGGCAGTTGAAGAGAAACATCACTGACAGCTATACACTTTGCTGTTTTAGCATGTGGCCTACACAAACCAAAGAGGATGGGCTTCTGGTCTGATCCCATTTGAGTTAAAGTGCCAACATCTAAGCTATTGAGAGGATAGAAAATGGTTTCCATACATGAAACAATGCATTTGAATGTGATAAGCCTCTTCTGGGGAATGATCTTTTCCTGAGAGAATAATACAGTGATAAAATCATAAGGGATGTTACCAATGGTCAGTTTGTTAGTAGGTGTCCTTCAGTGCTGAAGGTTTGCCATATGAGGGGATGAGGAACTGAAATATCTTCTATTCTGTTACTTGCTAACAAGATAGTCCAAATAATTTTATCAGCTAAGTGCACTTTGTTATTAACTGAAGCGACGTCAGATATTACTGTTAAATTCAAAATAATTTACTGTCAAAAAGCTATTAAGCAGCTATCTTGTAGTCAGTAATGTTTTTCAGTGTGTGAGATCCTAAGCCTCTGGTATTTATATACTGTCTCTTGGTTTGGAGCCTGAGTTCTGAAGTCCAAAGTCCTTCAAAGGACCTTCAGTATTTGTAAATCTTACAGATAAAAGAGAAATAAGTAAGCAGTTCTGCAATTTGTCCTGTGTGTCACTTTCCTTTGCATAAAGGAGATTTGGTTTTGGTTGCACAGGAGAGCTGTCTCTACTTTTTGCTCTTACGTAGTAACAATTCAGACTTCAAAAGGGCTTTTCTTGGCTTAAATCACAGGGTAGCAGGAGCTAAAAATTACCTAGAACTCTAACATAAATCTTCTCCTGAGAGCCTGAAAGTGCATAGAAATGTGTATACACATGAACAGGTAGGTATACAGGTGTATATATACACATACAAGCAAAAGTCCAGCCAGATTGTCGGAAGAACAGCAGTCTGGCTACCTCAATTCACTGTGTAAAGCTAATGGTGTCTCATATACAGCAGAAATACCATTGTCTTCAAGTTTTCACTGAGTAAGGTCTAACCAGCCTGTGTGTTTTTCCTGCCTGTTCTTCTTTGCTGCTCTCCCCACATACTTTATATTTTTATAACCTTTTCCTAGCAAAGGAGTAGGATGCTGTTTGGACAGTCAGTACATGTTGTTTGCCAGAGCAAAGTTAGAGGGTATAGGCAATGGGAGGGACAAGGCAAAGGGGGAGACATTAGCTTTATTTTGAGACATGGAGGTTCCCTGTGAGAAAAATGGTGAAGATGTATTACGCAAATAGATTGTACCTTCACTGAACCTACAGATGGCTTTTGAGCAAAAAGCCAGTGTGATGCACTTCTTTCCTTTTTTTTTTTGATACGTTTTTCAATGTCAAAGCAAATGCTAAGTAGGCATTCAAGATTCAAGTCAGTTTGGGGTTGTTTTGTTTTGTTTTCTTGGAGAGGAAGGTGAATTTTTTGGTGAAGTGTTGCTTTGGCCCTGTAATCATGCACAGAACAAAGAAATAGTCCCCTACATGACAAGTGTTCTTCTGTAGCCTAATGTGGATCATAGATGGAGGGGTGATGGAAGAAATTTTCTCGCTGGCATTATTTATGATGTATAACTGATCTCCCAACAATAAGAAGGCTTCATTTCTTTCTGCCAGGACAGTGGATTTCAGCCTGCAGTTCACAAGGCTGCTGGGGTTTTGTGTCCAGTTCCTAAAAACATAAGGTGAGAAAAGTAAACCTCTTGCTGGTAGGATTAAATTCCATAGAAGCTTGCACCTTCACTGAAAGTTTTAGGGGACTACAAGACTGAAAAACACTGATGCATTGTGAGAATGCCAGTTACCCCTGCTAGATGTTTCTGCAGTTGAAGTATCTATGGATTGCTGTGATACCTTTTTGACTGTAAGGTGAGTCATTTTTCCCTGCTGCCATCTAATGGGAATCCTTCCCTCTCTCCTCTTTGATGTTTACCTTATCAGAGTACAAAAGTGCAAGGCTCTGGTAATCTGAACACAACAGTCTATCTCTTTTTATGTAACCTCAGTGCTGAAGGGCTTGTTAAAGTGCTCAATGCAGTGTCACAAACTTAGGCTGACGCTTCCCCTCCAAGAATAACCTGACATGAGTTCGACAATGAAACCAGAGTACTCTCTAGTCCTAACTATATATAATTATGTTCATATTAAAAGAGAAAGTAGCAGGCAACCTTGGGGGGAGGAGGGATAAGACATGTCTCTAGCAAGTTGGCAGAGTGATTTAGTAGGGCCTTTCCTATAACTTAAGGAACGAGCATACAGCAGAAGTATGCATTTAAAAATAGCATTCCAGACACTGCACACAAAGATTATGCAACAGGATTTTTCTATGATAGTTATACTTGCTTCAAAAGACATAATTTGATGTAGTTCAGAGCTCTGGAATGAAAAACTGATACATGAAAAGTAGCAGACAATTATTAAACAACTAATTGTTTCTGTACTTTTAAAATTAAAACCAGTAACAAATCTAAGACTTACATAGGTCGTGAGTTTGTTCAATTTTAGGTAAAGCAGTAATAAATTTCAAATACACAATTATCAGTATCTAGGAAGGTACTAATAGAATCAGGCATAATCCTGTTTTCATTCGTTTTATCTGAGGTACTGTATTACAAGGTGTCCACTACTCACGCTGGCCACGCTTGCAATGAATGAGCAAGGTACCAGTTCACAACATCTGAAACCCTTTTGGTCAACTGTTGGTAGCCTCCACGTCTTCTGGTTAGGTCTGCCATGTGTCCAGCTCAAGGTACCAGCCTGCTCACAACCCTGGGGCAGGAGGGAGCAGATGGGGGTTGTGAGTGGTCTGCCAACTGCTTCTCTCAGTGCTTGGCCTTCTAAGAGGCAGTGCCTGTCTCAGGCTGTTTACAATGTTAAGTGCTGCTGCCTGTACCAGGGTGATTGATGGTCAGCACCCAGAAGCTGGTGCCAAAAGGCAGGATCCCTGAGATGGAGATGGGGTTGTGAGAGGCTGCACCTCCTGCAGCTGAGAAGGGTAAGGGCCATAGCAGGTTTGACTCGTCCCAGATATGGTCTCAGTGCTTAAAGGAAAGTTGTGGAGAATACCCAAAAGGTAACAGAGCTGTGGCTATGTTGAATCCCAGCACTATGTGCCTAAAAAACTGTGCAGAGCTGTACCGCACAGGAGATCGTGTTTTACCACAATCCAGATCACTGTCTTATGATATGATGGAGCTGCTCCCCAAAACATGGATGGCAGCTAAGTGGCAGATGTACCAGTAAGCTCTCTTGCTAGTGCTCTGCGAGCACTTAACTTTTAGAAAGGCCATGATACGGAAAAATGGCTGTTGCATCAGTGCTAGGCTTTATACGTTCATCCTTCATGCTGTTAGTTAGCCTCTATGTTACTGAGGACAGTGGAAGTTAATTCCTCCCTGGTTCTACCTTTCTACTTGGTGTGGATGTGTATAGCAGCAGTAGCTATAGTAACGTACATGCTAAGAAAAATGTTCTAAGGAATTCTATGTCCTAGTAACCAGTTAGGAGACTAGTATTTCTGTACTTTTCCATTTCAGACAGTAAGATTGTCCAAATACTCTTTTGAGCTTGAGAAACAGTCTGTTCCTGATTTCCACTCACAAATTACCCTTTAATAAAAAAAGCGAGCAAAGCCAGAACTAGACTTTGAGCTATCAAAACAGGTTTTACTCTCTGTGGTCTAATTAAACAATCCCTTTGCTCAACACAAACATCTTTGACCAGGAGTGTGAAGCTGAGCTGGGGCCCCTCCTTGCTATATTTGCTCAGAAAGGAGAAACATCCATTAATTTGAAATTTAAGATTACAAAAGCTGTGAACGTGCTTGTGGCAGGCTAACCAACTAATGGGTCTGAGCAGAGATCAGGTCTGACCAAGATCTCTGGTCTTCCTCCCCACAAGAACCTCTGTACTTGCTCAAAGAGGAGGGGATGGATGTCTCAAGCTAATGAGATGGCACCCTGCTGCCTGGGGGTACGTTTGCACAGGGAGGAGGCAAAGATTTGCACAGGGAGAAGGCAAAGTGAGCTGTGACGATGATACTGCTCCTCTCTGCCGAGGAGCCGTTGGAGGCCTCGGGGTGGTTACCTGGGCGTGGTTCTAGGTTCCATACCCTCACAAAGCAGGGTGTGGGGCAGTGCCGGGCAGCAGCCATGGAGGCACTGCCGTTGCTGCTGAGGCTGCTGATGCTGCTGGGCCTGGTGGGGTTCCCTCCGGCCCCAGGGGACCTGCCCGGGGGTCTGCGTGTCACCTCCATGTGGATGACGGTGCCGCGGCAGTTGAGTGCTCGGGCTGACACCAAACCCCTGGCTGTCTCTTACTGGCTGGAGGTGGCTGGGCGGCCCTGGGTGCTGCGCCTGTGGCCCAGGCGAGGGCTGATTTCCCACCCCTTCACCCTGGTCACCTACGGCAAGGATGGGACACGCTGGGAGGAGCACCCCTTCGTTCATGACAACTGCTTCTACCAGGGAGAGGTGCAGGGGAGCCCTGGCTCCATGGTGGCGCTCAGCAACTGCGGCAGGGGTCTCCATGGCATGCTTTGGGTTGAGGATGACATCTATGAGATTGAGCCCATCCCCGACGATCCGGCCTTCCGGCACATCCTCTACTGCATGGAGGCCAGCAACCCCGTGGGTCCCACCTGCGGGTTGACCCCGCAGGAGCTGCAGCACCAAGAGGCTTTGCTGCCCTGGCTCAAGGAGCCCCAGGCAGTGCAGGCGGACGAAGAGGCGTTGGAGGGATGGTGGACACACGTCAGGTACGTGAAGATAGCAGTGGTGGTGGACAATGCATGGTTTGTGAGGTCAGGCAGGAATGAATCCCAGGTCTTGAGGCAAGTCCTAGAAGTCATCAACACTGGGGACTCTCTGTACAAACAGCTTTCTGTTCGACTGTTTCTTGTGGGATTGGAGATCTGGACCAAAAGCAATCCTATAAACATTACTAACTCTATTGGTCATGTACTTTATGCCTTTAACAAATGGCGAAGGTCAGACCTGTCTCCACGGATGCGTCATGATGTTGCTCACTTATTTGTATTTCAGGGCTTTGGAAAGAGCCTGGGATTGGCGTACCTAGGGTCCATATGTAATAACCAGTGGTCAGCAGCCGTTGATTCCTTCAGTAATAGGAAGTTGTCCTCATTTGTTATCACATTTGTCCACGAGCTGGGCCATAATCTTGGGATGCACCATGATAAACCGGGCTGTAAATGCAGGCGAAAGAGATGCGTTATGTACGAAACTGATGTTGACACAGATGCATTCAGTGACTGCAGTTACAAAGACTACTTTGACCTTGTTGCACGTGGTTCCAACTGCATTCGTCAACCACCAGCGCCCGGTACTTTCTACGCCATGAAGCGTCAATACTGTGGGAATAAAATAGTAGAAAACGGAGAGCAGTGTGACTGTGGCTCAGAATCAAACTGCAGAAAGGATCCTTGTTGTCACCCAAATTGTACGTTTACGGCAAATTCAGTCTGTGCTTCTGGAAAATGCTGCAAGAGATGTCATTTCCTTCCAGCAGGAAAGGTCTGCAGAGCAAGTACTGGTGTCTGTGACCTGCCAGAGTATTGCAATGGGACTTCCCCTCAGTGCCCACAAGATTCGTAC